TAGTAAATCTCTCTGTGTGTGTGTGTGTGTGTGTGTGTGTTTGCTTATTGGTTTTACCTTAAAGTTTAATATAATTTTCTCCTGAAAGGACTGACTTTGAGTACTAGTGCAGGAAAATCCCAGTATGTATTATATAAATGCTATTTCTTTATTCATTTGCCAATAAAACAGGAGAAAAAAAAAACAACCTGAAACTGGGTACTGATTCTAAGAAGAGATCTCCATGAGATCAGCATAAAAGGCTTGGACTATTTAAAATATGAATTATAGAATCTTAGATATCATCCTAGTTCACTCAGACTATGAGTGTTTCCTGCATTCTATAAAGTCCACTTTTTATCAGAGTAGCCAATGGTCTCCATGGACGATCACCCTGAAGACTTGGAAAAAGATTCTCTCTTCTCATCTCCCCATCCATACCTTCTGCCCCATCCTGAGTAAGTTGCCTTTGGTTGATCCATATCCTTTAGTGTATGAACCCAAGTTATCCAGTTATAAGGATTCATTCTGGTCGGAGGTTTAAAACATTTCCCAGGACAGCCAAAACCGGTTTAGCTCAGTGGATAGAGCGTCAGTCTGTAGACTGCAAGGTCCCAGGTTCAATTCCGGTCAAGGGCTGTACATTGGTTGCTGGCACATCCCCGGTGGGGGGTGTGCAGGAGGCAACTGGTCGATGTTTCTCATCGATGTTTCTAGCTCTCTATCCCTCTCTCTTCCTCTCTGTAAAAAAATATGTAAGACTTATTTAATAAATAAATAAATAAATAAATAAATAAATAAATAAAACATTCCCCAGGACATAATGGGAACATCATGTCATTCTCTCCTGGGGCTCTATGGAGAGCCAAGGATGAAATGATCAGGGTTCTTTTTTAGAACTCAGTCTTGGAAAGTCAGTTAGCTTGGCAAACCAATGCAAGAATTCTGCCAAAGGCTTTCTTTCAACCTATAAATCACTCTCGCTGATGGAGACGTTCAACTTTCGATTACCTCTTCTGCCATTGCTGAGTGCTGTCTTCACCTGCCGTATGCATAACTCAGGCGGACAGTGGTTCTCCCAGGAACCCTGTTGGATGATGGCAAGGTTATTTTGAAGTGGACAAGGCAGGAGTGATGCACAGTATTACCACTAGGTACATGATACTGATTGCTGTGGCCAGGATCCATCCTCCTTGGCTGAAGTCCCATTTTGGTTGCATGATACCCATGCGATTCTTGCTACTGGATGTTAAATATGTTTACTAATCACCTGCAGTCCCAATACGAATGCACTGGGTATTGGGATTATTAACTATTACCTTTCTTTCTGAATTAATCTACAAATGACATCAATAACATCTAATGATATTTTTGCATATTTTATTTTAAAAGGTAGTTGTATGATGTACCTCTGAACCACTTCTTTTCACCTTACCCAATATGTTTTTAAAACACCTATATAGGAAAAAAAATAAAATAAAATGCCTATGCAAGCACCCTGTTGTTTAAAAAAAAAAATGTACTCAACTTGTTATGAAATAAAGTTAATTTCACATTTTTCTTTCATTAATATTCTTTCTCCTTCTAGACAGTTCTGTTCTCCTCGGAATCTTGATGTCTTTTTTTACTCTATTGTTAGAAAAAGGGGGGATGAGTATTAATTGGGGTCAGGCTCCCCTAAATCAAGATGTAATATGAAGCCAGGTAAGAGGGAAAAGAATAGGGAGCAGTAACTAATGTCATTAGGATTTCTGTTTATCTTAAGTGGGTTCTAGACATCTGAAACCCCCTTTAGTTTTTGGAATTAAGAATAAGGATAATAGTGCCACCATTTATTGCACTTGACTCATCTTGAGCATTGTTACTCTTTCTACAAAGTAGCGTGTCTGAATCCATGTGATAAATTGATCTTTGCATTCATTTGGGTTGATTATTGCGTTGTGCGGTTTAATTTGCGTGAGGAATTTGGCCAGACACGCCCTGCTGGCTGAGCCACCATTCCTTCTTGTATTTGATGACCTGTGAAGGTCTGCTTTGCTCACCACTAACCCAAACCTTTCTTTATTCTTTTTTATTTTCTAATTTGTTTCAAGACTTTATTTCAACAGCTGTTACAGCTTATTAGTCATCACAATGATCAGTGGATGTGTTATAGTTTCTAGGCCATAAAACAGCTTCAATTGCTGAGTTACTGCCACCAGACTCCTCTGGAAGGCTTTAGACTTTCAGGTGGTAGTTAGTTTCTTTCCACTGAGCCGTAACTTGTGGAAGGTAGAGTGGGAGAGGTGTTCATAGAGGATCCATGTTGCTCTGGTGCAAAATTTCTGTCAGGTGGCTAGCCTTGCCATTCTGAAATGAGAATTGGGAATGCTCTTGAGCAACTGAGTCAAGTGATCAGAGAGAAGACTGGCTAGGCCTTGTGGAGCTGACATATGTGGATCCCAACCTTGAGCTTCAGCCTGGAAAATGGGGTGAGGACAGCTTGCTGATATCCCAAGTTCACTGTAGATGGGGAACCAACTGGCCCATTTTGGTAATACCGTGTGTGTGTGTGTGTGTGTGTGTGTGTGTGTGTGTGTGTGTGGAGGTGGAGGTGGAGGACATGGAATAAAGTTGTAATTGCCAGTAAGGATCCTGCATACTCTGGCCCCCCAGAAACAGTCTTTACCCCGCCCCCCAGAAGGCTGAGAAGCGAAGCCAATGGTGCTCCGATAAGGTAGCCTGAAAAGGCTTCTGGTGGTTGCTACATATTTGCACCTCGCTTGCATTTTTATTGGTCATTACTATTATTAAATCTTTCATAACATGTGAAACTCCTGGGACAGGGGTTCTGCACTGCTGAATCTTCCTGGAGACAGAATGAGGAAGTTTGGGAGTCCTGCCATTCTTCCCCTGCATGCACTCTCCTCTCAGAGCTATACACACGAGTAGGAACTGGGGGCTTTTTAAAGCTGTGTGCTGGAATAATGCCTGGTTCTAAGCAAGTGCTTGGTAAATACCATTTCCTAAATGAGTGAATGTGTAAGATAAGGCATCGGTATATATTCAAGGCGCTGGGCTCTGCTTTATTTTCAACCTTCTGTTGCCTCTGCTTTTTCTTCTCTCTTTCCCCATCACCCACATTATGGGTCTCCCAGCTGCTCATCTTAGTTCTCATCTACTTGAGCCCACCTCCTCTCTCCTCGTCCCTACTTCACCCATCCCCAGTCATGTATGCCCTCCTTGTCTGCACATCCCCATAAGCTTGCGGGGGGCTCCTGTGACAGCACGACTAAAACTTGGAGGGTGGACTTGGGAGGAGCCACGGCCGTTTGTCCCTTCCCTTAGGTCCATTTGGAAAATCTCCTGGGCTTTGACAAAAACAGAAAGTATCAAATCTTCATATCCTGAATTAATTTCTGTTTTTTATTCTGCCCCTTGATAAACACAGCAGTGTAATTGCAAACTAGTTTTCCCTTTCCCCATTAAGTTGACACATTTTTCTATTGAACTAGATTTAACATATAACATTATATTAGTTTCAGTTGGGACATAGGTGAATATTGAGAAAGGATCACCAAAATAAGTCTAATTAACATCCATCACCTCCTTAGAGTCACAATTGTTTCTTTCTTGTGATGAGAACTTTTAAAATCACTGTCTTAGCAACTTACAAAAATACAGTACAGTATTAACTATAGCTTCCATGCTATACATTATACCTCCATGACTTATTTATTGTATTTGTTATTTTAACTACAAGTTTATATCATTGATATCTTTAGGCCACTTTTACCCACCCCTCACCTCTTGCCTCTGGCAACCACCAGTCTGCCGTCTGTATCTATGATTCTTGAGTCATTGATTCTTGACTCATCATTTCCTCTAAAGGAGAGCTAATGGGTGACCCTGTGGGAGTCCCTGCTCTCCTAAACTGATGGTACTGACACAGCCCGGAAGTCCCTGCTGCCTGAGCAGGAAGTACTGGGCTTACAGCGGCCAACTCCTGCTGGCTTCTTGTCATCACATGGCAGCCCCAGAGGATGCACTGGTAGGATTTCTTCTCCCGCCGTGCCTGGGATTCGTCCCATCTGTCTCCCTGGCCTCCACTTGCACGCTTATCTCCTGGATCATCATTTTCTCCCAACCTCCAGAGCCCATTTTCTCAGAGGCTCAAATAAGTAAGGAGATGGTGAGCGGGAGTGCAACTTCCCTTCAGGTTTTCCCTAAGCATGTCCATTTCCTCTGGCCCCGTCACTAGGCTGTGTCAGATGGGAAAGATGCTTACTATTTTCCAGGGCTAATACTAGAAAATGTGCCCAGAACAAGTTTTAGCAAACACAATTTTAGCACTTTTGATACAGTAGACCAAATTTATTCAGTGTCTCTAAGAAGTTATTACCTCAGATTTTAAACCACTGCACAATTTTCCCTCCAAACCCCACTATGTTGAGTTCTACATCAGCTGTATTTGGTTCCTGTGGCTGCTGTAACAAAATAGCACAAGTTTAGTGGCTTACATCACCACAAATGGGTTATGGTACAGCTGTGGCGATCAGAAGTCGGGGTGGGTTTCACAGGCCAATAGCAAGGTGCTGGCTGTGCCACTCTCCCCCTGGGGCTCCCTGGGGAGAATCCATGCCCCTGCCTTTTCCAGCTTCTAGACACCGCCTGCATTCTTTGGCTCACAGCCCCTCCTCCCTCCTCAAAGCCAGTGGTACCATCTGACCCTGCTTCTGCCACCACATCTCCTTCCCCTCTGACCTGCTTCCCTGTCACCGAGAAGGGCCCTTGTCATTGCAGTCAGCCCACTTGAATGATCCAGGACAGTCTCTCCATCTCAACATTCTTAAAGGGGGACATCTGCAAAGTGCCTATGCCATGTCAGGGGACATAGTTACAGGGTCCTGGGATGAGGGGTGGACATCTTACAAAGGCCCTTATGCCGCCTCCCACATCAGGGAAGCCACACGGCCCCTGGCGCTTCTCTATAAAAATGTGACTATCAAAGGACATGTTCTAACTTATTGTTTTATTTCCAGATGCAGAGAGAACTTGTTTATGCAAGAGGAGACGGCCCTGCGGCCTCTCGACCAGGGTCCGCAGCTCACCCAGCTCATGCCATTCCAAACTCTCCGCCCTCCACTCCCGTGCCCCACTCCATGCCTCCTTCCCCGTCCAGAATCCCGTACGGGGGCGGCCGCCCCATGATGATCCCGGGCAACGCCACCATCCCCAGGGACCGACTCTCCAGCCTGCCCGTGTCCAGGTCCATCTCGCCCAGCCCGAGCGCCATCCTGGAGAGAAGGGACGTCAAGCCCGATGAAGACATGAGCGGCAAGAGCATCGCGATGTACCGCAACGAGGGTTTCTATGCGGATCCTTACCTGTACCACGAGGGGCGCATGAGCATCGCCTCCTCCCACGGCGGCGGCGCGCACCCGCTGGACGTGCCGGACCACATCATCGCCTACCACCGCACCGCCATCCGCTCGGCCAGCGCCTACTGCAGCCCGGCCCTGCAGGCGGAGATGCACCTGGAGCAGCAGTCCCTGTACCGACAGAAGTCCAGGAAGTATCCGGACAGCCACTTACCCACGCTGGGCTCCAAGACGCCGCCCGCCTCTCCGCACCGTGTGCCCGACCTGCGGATGGTGGACATGCACGCGCATCACAACGCGCACGGGCCGCCCCACACTCTGCAGCCCGAGCGGGCCTCGCCCAGCCGCCAGCCCTTCAAGAAGGAGCCGGGCACCCTGGTGTACATTGAAAAGCCCCGGACCACGCCCGGGCTCTCCGGCCTCGTGGACCTGGGCCCTCCGCTAGTGGAGAAGCAGATGTTTGCTTACAGCACCGCTACGATCCCCAAAGACAGAGAGACCAGGTAAGGTGGGGGTGGGAGGTTTGGGGGCGGCGCAGGGTGGCGTGTTGTCGAGCGCGTGGCTCCTCAGTGGTCAGGCCACGAGAAGAGATGTCAGCTGAGCACCGGCCTCGGGCAGCGTGCCCTGCGGATGCTGCTGCCGTGGGCTCAGCCTAGGGTCAGAGGCCTTCCTTGTCTGCGACCTCAACATTGTTGGGGGTCCGGTGAGGCAGACGCACGGCCCTGCTCCTGGAGGGCAGACACACCAGGTAGTGGTCAGTGCAGGCTCCTGAGCACGTCATCCATAACTACGTCTGAATAATTTGGAAGGACATTGTGGTTAGCAGAAACCGTTCAGACCAAGAAATCCAGAGCTCATGATAACGAACCGCCACAGAAAATAAGGAGTGAGTGGTTCAAGGAGTAGCTGTTTAAAGTGATGATTTGTGTTTTTCCTTGTAAGTTGCCAAACTAGAACCTTCCTACTACATTTTTTTAAATTCTCCAAAGTTCATACATTAAAAGAAAAGTTAATTTTGATAGAGGGAATTTTTCTAGCCTGAATTGGTTAAATCAATGTAATAATTATAATTTTAAAAAATCTAGTAAAAAAAATGCATCCCAAAACTAGTTGTATAGATCCAGATGTATGAAAAATGAAATCTACATATTTAATCAATCAGTACTTTTATAAGAACTAGTGTTACCTGTTCCTCGAAAAAATGGTAATATCACTTGCTACTATTATATAACCTTATAGAAAGAAGGCTACAGTTGTGAATGTAATGTGAATTGTCTATCTTACTTTTTCACACACCAATCAAAAAGCCCCGTCCTCATTAGCAGAATTTTATCATGAAAGGGCTGTCTCTCCTTACTGTTCAGTCACAGCAGAAAGATTCCTGGAGGATAGAAAGGGAATGAACGTGGAAGTCTGGGAATCATTAATGCTCTAACAAATTCTAGTCCTTTCACACAATTAAAAAAACAAAACAAAAAAACTAGCAATGGTAACTGGCAAGATTATGTAGGACTAGGAAAAAATAAGAATTGGGAAATGATATTTATTCTCTCCTTTCCAAAGGCTGTAGGAATTGAAAATCTAAGACTCAAAGAAAGGAACGTGGACAGCTGAGGGGTGTGGGAATACTGAGGCTTATTGGAATAGACCAATGTCACAACTAGAGAGAAATCTACCAAGATGCTCCTTGTTGCTCAGAAGCTTGTGCCTTTGAAGAAAGGGTGACATGTCCTCTGGAGTGGGCTGGTGGGAAAACTAGTCACCTAGGGGAAAGACTTAGAATCATAAGAATTTAGTGAGGAAACAGAAACATTCATCTCCAGGATACTATGTGAGGACTAGAATCCATCCTCCCCACCATCCATCCCCCCACCACCACCACCATGGGCACCTTGTGGGTCACAGAGAATTGAGAGCTTGATTCCACCGTGGATCATAGTAAGCTATTTCCACCCTGCTGGGCTGTAGGCACATTTTGGTCAATGACAGTGTATGACTCTTTCCCAGCATGCAGTTACCACATGTTTATAACTTAATGAGCATCACTGATCCCAGGTGGGTTTTGTTTTTTTAATTTTTATATTTTTATTGACTTTAGAGAGGAAGAGAGAGGGAGAGAGAGATAGAAACATCAGTGATGAGGGAGAATCATTGATTAGCTGCCTCATGCACATCCCACAATGGGGATCGGGTCCACACAACCTGGGTGTGTGCCCTGACTGGGAATCGATTAGTGACCTCCCCTGAGACACACATGCCACGCTGAGCCCAGTTTTCCACAGCTCTTAGTATGGGAGGGAACAAAAGAACTTCCCGCTATGTGGAGTCTTCTCTATATTGGATCAAAGTCAAGTAGAATTTTAGCCTTAAGCAGTATCCGAATTCTTTTATGGACTCTGCTTCCTCTTTAGGTGTCTATTGCACCAAAGCTCAGAAAAAGTAGATGGATTTATGTTTTATATGTTAGAAACCCTTTTTAGAAAATCTAAATTATCTTATTTCTAGAATAACAAGTATTAGAAAAATTGACTAAAAAAGAATAATGTTCACTTAAAATATACTGTCATTATCACTACCATATTCAGACATATGATTATAATTATGAGCATAATTTTACTTTTTTTTTCCCCCCCCTGAAATGTGAAATAACAGAGGAAGAATTTTATCTCACACATCTGGCCAAGGTCATTCCTTACCTGTTAATCAGCTTATCTTCAGAGAGTGGAATTGGATTCCTTGCACATACATAAGCAGGCTAAATTCCCTTTTCCTGTAGGCTAACATGCACATGCACATGCACACACATGCACACAAACATGCACATACATCAGCATTTAGAGTCCACATTACTGAAACACCTAAATATCCTTAACCCAGGCACATGACAAAAGTGTGTATAGAATGATTCTCTAGTAAAAAGACTTGAGTCTGGAAATTTTGCTATCAGCACTCCCACCTATCATCCCATCGTTACCAACAATAGTGATACTTCCTCTTCTTCAGTTGTAGTTCTGGAGTCTTCTAGAGAGCTTAGTGACTGAGCTGAAATGTAGTACTGCTGGGCACCACATTTATTTTATAAGTACTACTATTTTAAGAAGAGTGCTGAGGGTAGCTAGCTTTTACTGAAAGCCTTTTATGGTCCAAACATTGTGTTAAGTAGTTTCTACACATCTTGCGATATAATCATCGTGGCTCAGTGAAGTATGTATTAGCAGCATTTCAATTTTACAAATGATGAAACTGAGCTCAGAGGAGTTAAGTAACTTGCCCAAGGTCACAAAGCCACTAAATGACATAGAATGTTCAGGTCCATTAAAGAATCCATACTTTTTTTTCAATGTGCAATATTGTGCCTGGTGCATAAGAACTATGCACCACTGAGAAGATAAGTGAATTCTGAGCATTTTAACAAGAATTTTCCAAAAATGTTTTCAGGACTAGATGCTAAGTGACTGCTCCTGAAGGATATTTACAATCATAATCATGGTAGAATTTGCATAATTAGCTGCTAAATATAAACATGCCATTTAAAATATAGCTGCCCTAGCTAATACATTAGCACAATTATGCAGAAATAAGGAAAGAATATAGAGAACCTTCTTGGTAGATTTTATTTTTACAACAATGAATGTGAGTACTATGTCAATGAAATTTTTTAAAAACAAGAACACAAAACACTTACTGAAGCACAAAATGATAATCCATTGTTTCATCTATACCGGATGTTATTTCAGTTATATTTAATCTGTGGAAGTATTTTTTAAAAAGTCTTCAATGCCTAAATGTCTAATTTCATGAGGATAGGGTTCTATAAAGTGCCAAACCAATTTCTTTTGCAACTTAATGATGTTAAAAAGCAAATAAACCTGAGAGTGCTCTTTTTATAGAGCTCTGAAGTGAACTTTTACATCTAAGACGGGAAGCTACAGAAACACAGGAGGGAGACTCAGAAATCTGTGGCGATGCTTTCTTTGGGGCACAGCTGGATCCAGATGCTGTTCAGAAGAGCATTCCATGGAAGGGATGGAATAACTGCAGGATGTTTGCAGTCACAGAAGAAAAATCCTTTCTTTCCCATCTGTGATCAGGAAACTTCCAATGGTAGCTTTTTTGTTTTGAGAGCACATTGTTTTATAACAACCCTATTGACTTGAAAATGAGTTTAAAGTAATTTCATCTTGATTCTTGTATTTAGTCAGGTGCCTTGATTTAATAAATTTGGCATCTCTTGTTTTTATAAATATGCTTCCACAAAACACTAAAAAATGACAAATTATGCATTGAAGACCTGGAAAAAAATCATGTATTTTGGAGAAATGTTGGTAGGGCTCTCCTCCCAAGATGGCCATGGGATTTGGAGTAGGTGAGCAGATTACAACTGCTTTGACCTTCAGGAGAGCAATTCTCTTATCTGAGCTTCTAGAAAGAAAAGAAAAGAATCTTGAGTGATGGGTTGGCTTTCCTCAGATGGCTTCCCTTCAGCTGGGACTCCAAGAAGCGAGTGGGTCCCTGTGCCTGTTAGGAAGTGCCGAGGGAACAGTGTATAACATGATTTAGTACATGGACCTCTCTTCGCTCGGTTGTAAAATTACTTCATTAAATAGCACCATTATTTTTATTCATGGCACATAAAACAGCACTTAAGAATTATAAAATCCTAGGGCATTTATGTTTTGCTATCTTGTATTTATAGTTTGAATCATATAATGTGCAATATCTTTATTAAAATAGCACTCAAAAATTCAAGGGTACTCATTTCAAAGTGACTAATAGCTCTCCCTCCAAATGTATAACAGATTCCTCCTAATGAAATATTTTTCAACAAAACATGGTAAACTTGAACTAAGATCATATCTTACTATTCTGCACGTACAGTAGCTAAATTCAACAAACTAGTCAAGAATCCACAGAGGACATTCTCGCCCTGTCTGGACATGTATATCTGGGGAAAGAGAAGCCACGTGGAATTCTGCTAGGATTTCTGAAACATCACAGATTTAAAGAAACAGAATCTCTTGTCTTGAGCCAAGTAGAAAGAAGGGAGAATAAAAATTCTGTGTACAGGAGGAAGCCTGCATGCTAACTGGCAACTGGTGTCTGTTCTTAATCATTTTACATCATTTTCTCATTTTACGAGGATTATATGTTACTGTGTTGGTAACTTTGAGGGGTGGGATGCATCCTTGGTTTAGCAGTTGATTGAGTGAAAGTTTAAATTCAGATTTATGTCATTTAAACATGTTCCCCATGACTGACAGACATTTGAAGATTTTTTAAACTGTGTTTTGTCCTGCTACAGAGGTGAATCTGAATTATCAAGATAGAATGATTGATTTTTTTCCTTCTCCTCTGTGTTTCATCAGATGTGAGCCACATCAGAGGTATCCTAAGTAACTAGACTTGGCTTTCTAAAGCAATGTTTTCTTAACTTGCTCACTATTGATACTTTGGGCCTCATAATTGGGCGAGGAGAGAGGGGCTCTCTTGTGTGTTGTGGGGT